TCTGTCCACAATGGTAAAGGGAAGAAAATTGTCAATATGTTAAATAATTATTTAGATAAATGCAGAGACAACACTGTAGGCCAGCTTTGCCATATAGAAATATGTTATCCTCATATATAAAATAACTTTACATTTCTAGCAATTACATTAAAAATATAGGCAAGGTTGGTTTTAATATACTTAGTATACTTAAAATCTTACCATTTTATCATGTAATCACTATAAAATTAATAGTAAGATATTTTATATTTTTATGCTAAGTCTTCAAACTCTGGTGTGTATTTTTCATTTATAGTGTATCTCAATTCAGACCCACCACGTTTCAGGTGCTCAACAGCTACATGTGTCTTAGTGGTTGCCATAGTGGGCAGTACAGGTCTAGGCTTTAATGATGGTGATGAAATTCATCACATTAGAGAAGTTGCAGACTATAGATTTTCCAGTGGTAAGTTCTAGATAATATTCTCTCAAACTCAAGAATTGATAACAGAACAATATATTTTTAAGAAGGAAAAGGAAATGGGGTATTTTCATCTAATGTCATTCAGCAGGATTTGTCCCACAATATTTTGTAATAAGAATCTGAGTCATCCCATTTTGGTAAAAGTACACATCACTGTATTCCTTTATCTTCTATGATATTTTACACCAAAATGTATACAGTTCATAAGTGGCTCAATGCTAAAGGTATACAGAGGTGTACATAAAGGTGATTGGAAGGAAATAGATGATGTTGAAATGAAAAAAGTCACTGGATTGCTCATTTGAATTTGTCCTTGTGAACCTTAGGATGGAAATGTTTTGTAATTATGGTACAAAGCAGATGGCTGAACTCTGTTGAACAAAATTACAAACTGCCAAAAATTTTAAAAAATATTGCATTTTGATGATGCAAATGCAAGAAAAGGAACCAGAAGGAATGATAAGCTAAAACCTATTGGAGATGTATTTTCAATTCGAAATCAGTATTATAAGAGGGATATGCTCCAAATTAATGCATGATAGATAGGTGGTGAGCAGCTAGTTGCATTCAAAGGACATTGCCCATTTCAGATGTATGTTTCTTCAAAACCTGGAAAATGTTTCTATTTTTATTTAAATTTCTATGGAGTTACTTTACATTATCCTCTCACTCTTATTACTTCTGTAAATTTTTTGTGAAATGACTTTTTAAATTATAAAAATGCTCCATTGGACCTACATTGTAAATGATGACTGTTTTTCCTGGTATATTAAGGGTTAACCAAAAGGTTTGCAAGAAAATTGAAAAGGAAGTAGCTTTTCCATTCTGATTCAGTGTTATTTAATGTTGCTAAATTATTTCACTGAATATTGTCTCCTATGCTGCCTAAAATTATCTCAAGTATGTCTCAGTCTTGGGAAACACTCTTTTAAGTTACTGTTTATGATGATAATGAGTTGTAAGAAATACACATTTGGTCATTAATATGACCAAATATATATTTCCCAGGTATATTTGGTCTCCATCCAGAGTTCCTGAAAAGACTGCCATCTTAATGGTGAAATGGGTGTCTTGTCATGTTAGAGACTTTTGGACCTCCCACCCCAGGGTGGGGGCTGGAAGTTGAATCAGCCAATGGCCAATAATTTAGTCAATCATGACTATGCAGTGAAGCCCTCACAAAAACCCCTGAAAAGAGCTTATCGCTCTCTGCTCAGCTGTGGTCTCTGCCCAGCTGTGGTCTCTGCCCAATTCTGCTTCTCAATTAGAGAGAGCTATGCTTGGGGAAGCAGAATACCTCCATCTACCACCGAGCCAGGCCCCAAGCTCCATGAGGATAGAAGCTTCTTTATTTGGGACCTTGACCTATGTCTCTCTTCATCTGGCTGTTCACTTGTATCCTTTACCCTTTATGGTACAAGTGTTTTCCTGGTACCTGTGTTTTCCTGGTAAATGTGTTTTCCTGGTACAAGTGTTTCCTGGTACAAGTGTTTTCCTGGTAAATGTATTTTCCTGAGTTCTGTGAGCTGCTCTAGCAAATTAATGGAACCCAAGTGGGAGGTTGTGGGAACTTCCAATCTGTAGCCAGTGGGTCAGAGGTGCAGACTAAGTGCCTGGGGCTTGTGACCAGTGTCTGGAATAGGGGGTGGAGGGTAGTCTTGCAGGACGGAGCCCTTAACCTGGGGTATCTGGTGCTTTCTCCGGGCAGATAGCATCAGAATTGAGTTGAGTTCTCCAGCACCCTTCTGGTGTTTGAGAATTGCTTGGTGTTAGTGTGTGTGGAAAGACCCCCTGCCATGTACTTACACCTCGGAATCGGTTCCAGGAACCTGAATGGAGTTATACTACTGTTACTGCTGTGTATAATAATATTGTTACTGTTAGACATAAATGTAGAGAAAAAATACACCATCTTATTTGGTGTCAGAGGAGTGGGATTTTTTCCATTCTGATTCAGTGTTATTTAATGTTGCTAAATTATTTCACTGAATATTGTCTCCTATGCTGCCTAAAATTATCTCAAGTATGTCTCAGTCTTGGGAAACACTCTTTTAAGTTACTGTTTATGATGATAATGAGTTGTAAGAAATACACATTTGGTCATTAATATGACCAAATATATATTTCCCAGGTATATTTGGTCTCCATCCAGAGTTCCTGAAAAGACTGCCATCTTAATGGTGAAATGGGTGTCTTGTCATGTTAGAGACTTTTGGACCTCCCACCCCAGGGTGGGGGCTGGAAGTTGAATCAGCCAATGGCCAATAATTTAGTCAATCATGACTATGCAGTGAAGCCCTCACAAAAACCCCTGAAAAGAGCTTATCGCTCTCTGCTCAGCTGTGGTCTCTGCCCAGCTGTGGTCTCTGCCCAATTCTGCTTCTCAATTAGAGAGAGCTATGCTTGGGGAAGCAGAATACCTCCATCTACCACCGAGCCAGGCCCCAAGCTCCATGAGGATAGAAGCTTCTTTATTTGGGACCTTGACCTATGTCTCTCTTCATCTGGCTGTTCACTTGTATCCTTTACCCTTTATGGTACAAGTGTTTTCCTGGTACCTGTGTTTTCCTGGTAAATGTGTTTTCCTGGTACAAGTGTTTCCTGGTACAAGTGTTTTCCTGGTAAATGTATTTTCCTGAGTTCTGTGAGCTGCTCTAGCAAATTAATGGAACCCAAGTGGGAGGTTGTGGGAACTTCCAATCTGTAGCCAGTGGGTCAGAGGTGCAGACTAAGTGCCTGGGGCTTGTGACCAGTGTCTGGAATAGGGGGTGGAGGGTAGTCTTGCAGGACGGAGCCCTTAACCTGGGGTATCTGGTGCTTTCTCCGGGCAGATAGCATCAGAATTGAGTTGAGTTCTCCAGCACCCTTCTGGTGTTTGAGAATTGCTTGGTGTTAGTGTGTGTGGAAAGACCCCCTGCCATGTACTTACACATCGGAATCGGTTCCAGGAACCTGAATGGAGTTATACTACTGTTACTGCTGTGTATAATAATATTGTTACTGTTAGACATAAATGTAGAGAAAAAATACACCATCTTATTTGGTGTCAGAGGAGTGGGATTTATACTGTTGAAAGTCTTCAAAGCCGGAGAGCAGATGGTTGTGGTAACTAATTAAGCAAATCCCAGAGGCAAATCTGTAGATGGTAGGAGGACAAGCTCCAAGTACCTCTGGAGCCAAGGGTGAAGGGACAGATTCCAGAGTAAGGTCTGAGTGAGAGCTGTTTGACAACCAGTTTAGATCCCTAGATTGTCTAGTGCTGGTATTCCTCCCTCACTCAAGCAGAAGTTGAGGTTTATCTAGAAAGTGTAGAACCAGGTCTCTGGACTGAGAGTCCAGACAAAGTTGTGGGTCCTGAACTAAAAAGCATGGGGATGGGCTCAATAGCTCTGGTCCCCACTTGACTCCCTTGCACACTGGGGACCAGGCCCTCCAGACATGGTGCTGGAAGACTCTTCTCTGGAAACTGTGACCAATCCAAGAAGAAAGACCTAAAAGTTACTGAGTTGGGCTCTCACCCCAAAAAGTCCACACAGGTCACCTGTTGTGAAGCCTGGTGTCAGTCACTTCCAAGTGTGTACTCAGCTCTTCGGGTGGTCGCGCTCTGAGTCGTAAGCCAAGGAACACTAGGTTTCTGAGCAAAGTCTCTAATGCAGAAATAGAGACCAAAAGAAGCAAAGGGAGAATGTAACTTCAAAGAAACTAAAACAAACCAAAAACACAACAAAAATCATCAAAATTCTTGAAACAAAATAGGGTGCTAAAATTAAAAGGGTCACTCAGATGACATAAAAGAGCTCTTGAAATTAAAAACATGAGGGCAGAAATCATTTGAACTGTTGTTTTTTTAGTTCTTTTGGTGGTTACATCCCTAACTATAAATAGTAGCCTTTTACTGTTTGTCTCTTTAGACAGTATCATGCTGTAGGAGATTAACACACTTAGACTTCTCTGTCTTCACTTGTCTCTTCTCTTAATGTACTAATATCATTAAAAAATTACATTATTTACTTTTGGCTTTTAAAATATATATTTAAATCTCTGTTTCTTATTCTGTCAACTGTAAATTAGTTTCCTTTGTGAATTCTCTCTCTCCCCACCTATTCTTGCTCATAAATGCTGCATCATTTGGAATTGAAAAGGAGATAAGCTAGTTTAGTAAATTATTGATGTGAAGTGTGAAGTTTTGGTCTTTCCTTGGCTGAAATTTATACTACAGGTGTTACTTGTCACGCCTTATAAATAGAGTAGGGTATTTGTGTTTCGGTTCCCAGCTTTGCATGTTCAGGGCTGTTGAAGTGAACACAGCTTCTTTTTAGAGGGGGCCTGGACTTCCTGGTTAACTGCTGAAGCGGCTAAGCCTCTACTGCATTTTTTTTCAAACTGTTAACTGAAATCCAAAATAAATATTTTATAGTAGGATTGTATATGTGTTTATGTGTATCTGTCTTATCTATCTGAATAAAATCTCCTTAATCCTTTGGACTACGTTGGCTTTTTTGATAGTCTGAACTATGTGCTTTCTTTCTTTATCTAGGCAGTTGACAAGTACTTCAAGCTTCCTCATGCTTCCAGTAAACCACCTCGGATTTCAGGAAGCCTTGTGGACACTTCTTACAAAACATTAAGATTTGCATTTAGAGCATCTCTAAAAACTGCCATCTATCGAATAACTACTACATTTGGTGAACATCTGAAGTAAGTTTACCTGTTTGATGCGTGATGATAATTCACGTTTAGGAATTCCCCTGAGAAATAAGTGTAAGAATTATAAAGGCTTATATGTTGGAAGTATTCTTTTGGGACCTTCATGATTCCTACTGGAAATTAATAGCTTGGATTTAGACTTAATATTTTTATTTTAAAATTTGGCCTATCATAAAAGCTTTGGGGCCTTTTCTTTCAAATGGACAACAAAGAGGATAGGAAGTCATAGAAGCAGCAAGTGTAAGTTATATATTGTCGTCTGTTTTTTTAAATTACTAAAACATCCTTCAGGTAAAAGAAAAAGCAAATTAGGTGCCTTTCCAGAAAAGCATATTAAAAATAACTCTGTTGTTACATCTTGGTGAGCCAACTAAGACCTGGGGCAAGAGTAGTCCATAAGTAAGTCCTTGGCGCTTTGTGAATCATGCTGGGAAAACAGTGACAAGTCACACCACCTTCACAGATAGGACCAGAAAGAAAACCACAAATGCCAAGCCTGTTTATATTTAGTTTCATTGATGTTTACTCCTTTCTTCTCATGTACTAATCTATCTAGGCAGGATAAGAGGTACTAGTTTATTAACCAAACTATGTTTATCATAATTATAAATAAACTTTAGAAGACAGGAGAGATTACTCTTTTTCTGTATGCAGTCAATAACTAGTTTAGGACTCCTCATACCACCTACTTTTAGACACAGTAGGGTGTGTTTTTGTACTTCTTTATACTAGGCAGCAGTAGCAAGTTTTTATGGGACACTTTGGTTCTATGTGGGAATACAAAAGAGCTGTAGATAATCCACTATCCTTTTATTCACTTGTTTAAAAACAAACCAAAAAATCTATTGAGTGCCTTCTAGATTTGCATTCTCCAGTATGCTAGCCATGTATGACTATTTAAATTTTAGTCAGTTAAACCTAAATACAATTTAAAATCTGGTTTGTCAATCACACTGGCCACATGTCAAGTCCTCAGTAACTACATGTGGTTAGTGGCTAGCATATTGGACAGTTTAGGCATAAAACATTTCTATCTTGCAGGAAGTTCTATTGGACAGCACTGTTCTAGATAGTACACTTAGCATTTTATATATATATTTTTTAATTTACTCTTCTCAAAGAGCCTATGAAGTATAGAAATTATAATGTACAAATAATGAAAACTGGGGCTCAAGAGAGGTTAAGAACTCATCTAATAGCATAGTGTCTAGTCAGTGTGAGAACATGAACCTGAAACCAGGTCTCTCTTGCTCCTAAAATTCCACCTTTTTTTTCCTGTACAACACTAGACTGCCTCTAAGATGTAAACTTCTATGTAGGAAATTCCCAGAAAGCACTCAGTGACTTTAGAGAATGAAATAGAGATGATGTATACTGATAATAAGAGCAAAAACAAGGATAAAAGGGGAAAACGAATTTCTTAGATAAGGGAGATAGATGACTGATAAAAAATTATGAGAATGAAAATCTTAGTTTCTTTTTTCTGAGAAGAGCCATATATCTATGAACTAAAATTGAAGAGATCAGTAGAGACTGTTTTGTACAAATTTAGGACAGAATGGCCTGGTGGAAAAAATACTAGATTTGGAGTTAAAATATTTGGGTTTATGTCTGGTTACATTATTGACTCTCTGTGGTTGTAGGCAAGTTACTTAGTGATTCAGATTTTGCAGGTATTAAGTAGTAGAATCAGAATTCAGACTCAGACCTTTGTGACCTAGAGTTCTATCCACAGTATGTATACTCTTAACTAGTAGGCTGTGTTGTTTCCTCTAACCTCTGAACCTTTCTGATAGTGTTTACTGTTCTGGAAAAAGGGTAAGTTATCCATCCTACATTTGCAGTTAATAGACATGAAAGGGAATCGTACATATGTAAAGCCCATACTGTACATTATATATGGTGACAACTGCTATTTTATAATACCTAATTTATTTATTACCTAAAGCTCTGCCTCTGTGAACCAGGTATAAATGAGTAAACTCTTGAGGCATGAAAATTAATACAGGCCAGTTGCTCAGTGAACACCCACTTACTCTTAGGTTAGGAAAATTTGATTTACTGTTTTTTTCCCAGCCCAGAACAGTAAAATGTGAGGGGAAGAGACTGCTTTCGAGTCAGGAGTACTAACAATAGTGAGGCATGGTTCACTGCTCGCTAGCAGAGGAAAGAGCATGACAAAAGCTTCAGGCTTGGTGTGTAAGAGAGTACAGAACCATTTACTTAGAGATGACAGCTTCGCTGGAATGTAGGGGACCTGCACGGTGAAATACTTAGTACAGTGCCATTGGAATCAGCTGTGTGGTTTAAGAAAGCAGAGACATGTATGTATAAGGTGCTTTAGGATGATTTGTAGCAAAATGATTATAATAAAACTCCTGGCACTTTTAAAAGTGATGACCTTCAGTTACCTGGAATTTTACAATTCAGTAATGTATTAGAATTGTAGCTACTAGAAATACAGTCTTCCATTGTACACAATTTTTGTCCAAAAGTTTAAAAGGAAGTTTTATCTTAGCTTCAGTGTATATTTGTCCTCATTTTGTCAAGGTAATGTATTTTTTGTGGGGGTGAGGTCAGGGAGAAAACTCAGTTTCCCCTTCCAAGACATAACTTATGTTCAAAGGCAAAAGTAAATCTAAACCACCAAGCTGTTACCTTTGAAAACGATTAGTGGAGTCTATTGTGTTTTAACCAAACATTTTAGTTTAAAGGATTTTATATTAAAGGCAATTCAAATACTCTACAACTCAAAGATAATGTTGAAATCTGGTTTAAATAAAATAATAAAATCCAGAAAATCTACTGCAAGGCTTGGAGCTCTGCACAGCAGGTTCCACAGCAGGGCAGGTTAAAATTGATGCCTTCACTTGTCAGTCTTAATTTGCTTTGGTCTTTTAGAAGGTAGATGCATGCCATTACTGAATGCAAGCCCTCCTCTTCATTAGATTAAGGAGGGTTTTCATCCAGCTTTTTCAGAAGTACTAAATAAGTGAAGATTTCTATTCATTTTTAATTGTTTTGAAAAATATTGACTCTGTGCTCTGTGGTTCACTTAATATGCTTAATGTAAAATAAAGCTTATGCTTTGAATTTATGTTTCATTTAGTGCTGTGCAAGCATCTGCAGAACATCAGAAAAGACTTCAACAGTTCTTGGAGTTCAAAGAATAGTTAAGTAATATAAACTGTGTTCATTACACTGCTGATACAACTACAGATGGGACAGTAAATGTTCAGCATTCTTGGATCAGAAGAAAATGGACTAATTAGATGCTTCCTTTGTCGTGGTGGTTGCTTTGAAAACTATACTTTAATGGGAGAAATCATGGAAAGAAATTCTGAACAGAGTAACCGAAAACTGCCTTTTTTGTACTGATTGCTTTTTGTATGTGTGGTATAATAAAATCTTTATTCGATTTTACAAAAGCATCTGTGGCAGTAGAAATGTCTCTAGCTTATATAACTTAATAATAATAATAGAAAATGTTCAGAATTTACTTTGGAGAGGAATAGAACCAGTTCAGAAGGTAAAATAGGTAGACTTGATCCAGTCTTCCTAATTGTTCTGAGAGTTTAGTTCAGTGTAAATTTGAAATATGTAAACTTTAGTTTCTGTTTACTGAAAGATAAAAATGGTAACGGTGGAGGAAAATTCACAGAAAAATTATTGTCTAAAGGACATATTTTGTTAATCTCTTAGGTTATGGTTTTATTCCAGGAACAAATTAAATTTGATTGTCCAAAAAAAGTCTCAATTTACAGATGCTAACTGTATATAAAGGAATGTGGAAAAATTCAGTTCTTACATTATAAGGTTAAACATTCACATTTGGTTTTTGAAAGACAATTGAGTGACATCTATGAATTTGTTTTGTATCATGCTAGTGAACAGTAAGTATATGGATATTTTTCCAACTAGTTTTGCTTTCTTTTCCTGGAACAAAACATTAAGTGATTGCAGAGTTTTTCAAATGAGAGAAAAAGATTTTTCAAGAAAAACAGGAAAATTTCCTTTTTTCCCCCACCTTTCATCCTCATTAGATCAAATTATTTTGTGTAGTTTGTTTGGCCTCAGAGGGAGCAGCCTTTGCTGTGTTAACTGGCTAATAAAAATATATTAGGAAAATCTTTGCAGCCAGAAACAACTTAGTCATCAAATAGCAAGTGAAACCAAAACATCAGAGAGACTAGTTTACTTGGGAATATGTTATATGTCCCAAAAGTGAGCAAGGTAATAATATCGTTTATTAGATCAACTTCTGTGGAGATGAAAGATTGGAAATCCTAGTGGTAGACAGTCACCGGACAAGCTTTGGATTATAATGCTCACTGGTAATTATTTTACTGTTATCTTTTCCCATTGGTGTCCCCCCAGTTTTTCTTTATAGGCAGTGCACTATTGTATATTAATTTTTAATGTGATATATATATCTACTATTTGACTACTTGATGTATTATATCTTTATTCCTTTTATTTGTTGCCCCTTCAACCACCACATGCCAAAATATAAATGAGTCCTGCTGGACTTTAAAGTGTCTCTGTGATTCATTTCCTCAATTGTAAGTCGAGTATTTAGGTTATTGCCATGGCTTTTTCCACCCCCATCCCCCATCTGAAGTGGAGTTGATCTATTTTTCAATGTGCAGGCTGAGTTTTGAATATGGTAGTTACAGATGACCAGAAAATTGTGGTAAGGCTGACTGATAACTGTTGAGTTCCATGTTTTAAAGCCATTGAACTTTTTATATTCCACACTCTGAGCCACCCTTGGCAGTGGCATTTTGGGAGCAAAGGACACTTAACCTTCTGCTTCCATTAAAGAATAATTGTGGTACTTAACCCACTGACTTCCTGATACTGACGATGGGATGATTCCTTTCAACTTTGACTTATTTGGATAAAATGTTTGGCGAGCTTTAGGGTTTTTGCTGTTTCCTGTATACTTCAGGCAAAGATATATTCAGTGAGCAATGTGAAAACTGTGATGTTCATCCCTATGTTCTCAAGGATGTGCTGTGTACAAAATACGGGTTATATGTCTGCCTAGGGGATATTTGGAAACAACCTCCCTGAATCTGGATTATATAGTAGGTAAGAGAGTAGGTTTTTTTCCCTTTGTGTGTTGATAATCTCCACACCATCTGCTGAGGTAGGGTGTGGTTGAACCACCTGTTACTAAAGAGAGCGCCTTCCCTATGTATGAGGAGAATCATTGTAGGAAGGCCAGAGAGAGGCGTTTCCTTTGATGGAGTCACATGGTGCCTATGTGCCCACTGATGCTGTATTGGTCTGCAAATTAGAATGTTCTTTAAAGCTTTTCTCTGTCAGCACAAAACATGATTCTATCAGCTCTTATAATGTTCACCTGACCCTGTGGAAGGTATAAATCCACATAACTTCTTTCCCACCTAACTGGGAAACTCCTAGAATAAACCTTGTACAATTGAGTATCCGTGGATAAGCAGCAATTTGTTACTTTCCTGTGTTTGTTCCTTGGTGATTGATTCCTGTGTCTTCCTGTAAATATGGTAATCTGTTTATATCCTTTTCTATATCACTGATATTAAATTGAGTAGAAAAATTAATTGAAAATTAAAAAAATGAGATTACTAATTAATTGAAATATGTTATGCCTACAAAGTTAATTATTTAATTTCTGGTGTGTGTGTTGCCTTAGCCATTTCAATTCAGTTGGAGTTGTTGCTTGTAAAACTTGAAAAAGGTTTGACTTCTCAAGAAATCAGCTTTTGCCCCTAACTGGCCTAATTTGGTGGGTGATCTGTGTTTAATGGTAATTCTAAGAAGCCTAAATTCTAGAAGTCTCTTTCTTCATTGTCTTGGCTGCCTTTCTTCCAAAACTAAACAAAGGTTGCAGGTGCTGAAAGCCATCTCTTAATAGAGGTTTCTTTTCTTGCCAGAATAGTGTTTCTAATCAGATCCTATTCCCCAAGCTAATAGTTATGTTTGTCAGCTTTACTTAAATTAGTCTGGACTTCACCTCAAGTAGCTGAGGTGCTATAGGAAGGCCCTCAACTCCCTCATTTGCTCTCCCAATCCACAGTCATCTTTCTTTAAAACCAATTAGTTTAACACAAAGATGGTTTAATTAATCAGTTAACAATCCAGCTAGTCTTACCAAGGTGCTGACCACCATTTTTACATAAGCAAAGCCATTTTTGTTTTGGGGGTTTGGAAGGAGGATAGACAAGCACATAGCCCTTGAGTTCTTAGTCATGGTCCTATATAGCCTTGGCAGTTGCTGTAATGATGGGCAAACCTATGGGGGCTAGCTAGCCGTTTAGAGACATTGACTATGTTATGGCCCATCTGTCAAAACAAATTGAGCTGTGAGTAAGACAGTTTGTTACCTCCAAGGAGTCAAATGCAGTGGCATTTAAAACTTGGGAGTCAGAAAAATCTGACTCACAGGGAGTGTTTATGAGAGGTGCAGATTCTGGGCTCAAGGTTTAATGCAAATTCTGCTTCGGGAGGTCGGGACTGCTTCCAGAAGATGTGGTTCCTAACAAATTCTAAGCAGTGGTCTGGGAATCACACTGTGAGAAGGGTTTATTTTCTATCAAGAGTTACCAAACTTAGCGTGTATCACTTAGAAAAAGGTGTTAAAACAGATTATTGCAGAGTTTCTGACTTGGTACATCTGGGGTGGGGCCCAAGAATTTGCGTTTCTAACAAGTGCCCAGGTGACATGCTGCTGGGCAGGACTCCACACTTGAGCACCACTGCTGGGGTGGATTTTCCTGTGCACTGTTCTCCCAGATGAGTGACTCAGCATAGGGAACGTCACCTCCTGTAAGGCAGACTCTTCCATCTGATCCATCACGCAGCAGGTATACAACATAAGTTGTTTTTTTCACATGTGCTCATGTTGTTCCCTTTACCGAAATTTCTGTCTTGGCAAACTTCTCATTCTTTACATACTTCCCTGTCCAAATACTTTCAGACTGATTTTAAGGTGTTTTATCAAAGGCTTTGTCATTCCCTCTTTTTTGTATCTCATTGAATTGTAACTTAACTGACTACAAATCTGTTTCCCCTTGTAGACTATGATCTCCCTGTCCTTCCAGGATTCCGGTTACACCTTTTCAGTATGTAATCTGTGTCTTGACTTGTCTTTTCTGTTTTCATATCTTTGACTTTCCATGGCTTTATTCTAGGTAGTTTCTTCTGACCTATCCTCCAAGTCATTTTCTTGAACTGTATCTAATCTGCTGTTAAATTTATCTATGAACTCCATGTAGACTATGAGCTCTACTAACAATAGTTTTTCAGTAAATAAATGAGAATTAGCAGTCACTTCTAGGGTTACTTTAGTCTTTATCATTAGCGGACCTTTATGTACAATTCTGAAATCGAGAGTTATTATTTTAATTGGCAAGCTGGTAACAAAATTTATTTGGCAGCAAAACCAGCCTTAACTGATGTGAGGCCATTTGTAGATTTAGTTTATTCCATGTAGTATGGCTACAATTACATTTGTTGTAGTAAGTTTGAGTATGAAGTGCTGTCCCAAACCACGAGAGTATGATGTAATACACAGCATTATAACCTTCTAAAATTTTAATATTTTTTTATTCTGAAACATCTGGCCTCAGGAGTTTAAGACGAGGTGTTAGGACCTGTTTGTAAAATGCTGTTAATTCTTCCATTCGTTCAGCATTTACTCACTGCCTGCTGACTACCAGGCCCCGTGATAGTCATTGATGGTACAAAGTCATAAATCTTGGCCTCAGAGAACTTACCATCTTACATGGGAGAAGTAAGTGGGGGCAACCCTTGTTTGCACAGACCCTTTTTCTACTTACTTACAAAGTTGATGTGTCTTGCTGTTGCTGTCTCATTGCTGATTACACATCTGTACTCTTCCTTACCTACTCTAAGCAGTGACTGTTGCTTGCATTTGTGTCATCTCCCTTATGGACAGCATCTTCTTAGGTGTTACGTCCTGGTGTTCGTCTGCTTTGTCACTTGTATTATTTTGCAGGAGTTGTGTGGCTCTACGTTGCCCTCAAGTGTTCATGTGCTCCCTGCACACACATATCCTACCTGATACTGTTGAGTGTGTTTTACAAGTGATCCTGGTGGTAAAGTAGTTCTGGAAGACCTATAAGATGTCTGTGGAAGAGAAACAATAGAAGGTGACCTCTAAATCACAGACCTTGCCTTGATAGTCTTTTGAAGGTACGTTGACTCTTGATTGATTTGTCCTTTTTCCACTTTCAATTTACTAGTAGCAGTAGTCTACAGTCTTGAAAAAATATTAAGCTCTAGTCCTTCCCAACTATACTATGACCCTTAGTTGCAAGGATACAATCCCCACCTCAGCCTAGCTTGAGCATAAATAGGGGAGTTGATCCTGAGGGCAGAGGACAGTCTTGGTGAGCACAGGTATAGATTTATTTCTAATCCCATGAGGAGTCTGGAAAGATTTCAGAATCTTGAAATGGTTCTCTACTTCTTTCTGCATCCATGCTTTATTCTCTGTCCCTGCCTACTGACTTTCTACTATTCTCTTCAGCTACCCTTTAGCTCCTGAGTTTATGTATAATAGATAGACCAGTTGTTTCTGCATGCCAACCAAATTTCTGATTGAAAGAAATTAGCCCAAATGGATCAAGTATTCAGGGTCTAATTAGGCTTGAGGGATAAGGTCATGCAGTGGCAACATGGCTTCTGAGAGCTTACCTTTGTTAGTCAGGGTAGATTGGAGAGTCAAGGCAGTTCTGAGAGCCTCCCAAGATAAGAAAGTCAGGGTTCAGGGCTTGCAAAGAATGTTTGTAAATCCCCTTACTTTTTTTTTTTTTTTTGAGAGGGCATCTCTCATATTTATT